AAAAACATTATTAAGTTAATTAAGTTATTAAACATCTGCATTTGTGCAGACGAGGTCTTGTATGATCTTCGTCTTCTAAACCACCGAAATCGAGACAAGAAAGACTAGCTTTTGGTTGCTCATTAACATACAAGAATTCTGTCGCGACGGCGAAACTCACGGAAACTCGTTTCCGCGCAAACTCAAGAACACGTTTTGTCGCTCGAACGAAAACACAATAAAAACGAGCGCCGAAATTTTCGTACCAAAAATATCACTTTTCGAAGCAAAACTACGAACCTGCGTATACAGTCTCGTTAAAACACGCTATTGTGACACGCGTTGTAATAAGCCAAACAGCCTGTTCACGACAAGAGCAATCCTCCGCCGCGTTTGCGATTCAAGTAGCGGTAATTGCAATAATAATTCATAATAATATTATCCTATCACGACGATAATTTTACTATTTACAATGCCGTATATATAATACTAAGATAACTTGTCGTATACATCTCATTGCACCTCGCCACGCCTTCCGTTTTGATCTTCATTATTTAAATGAAGATACCAATCCATACACATTTTCTGTTTTTGCGCATAATAAACACACGTTCGAAAAAATACAAGTGTAACACATAAACATTCGTCTCGCGGAGTGAAAACTCTGCTCTAATCAGTTTGTCACATATTCATTCTCTCTTCGAGAAATGTGGTTAAATAATTTACAATTAGCTAGGCTTTAATCTCATCCACGTTTCTTTAGCACACAAGCATAAACACTCGAAATGCCTCTAACAAGAACAGAAACGAGCAGAGTTTAACGACATTTTAGCCACTACACAAATTGTATTAACCGCGTGTATTTTTTGGTTTTTTGTTGATTATCTAAAAACAAAACAAAACAGAATAAATTACTTAACGCGCGCATACAAATGCGTATGGTGGAACGTGTCAAATCGTCCGACGCGGGCGCTCGGTGATCTCGTATAATAATATATAATATATATATATATATATATGCATATACAATATATATGAAGTAGAGCCATCCCTCGATTTTTCACAAGCGCACAGCGTCCTCTGGGAAGGCGTTCTGTGTGTGATGACGAGAATCTGTTGCGCAATATTAGTTTTTAAAATCAAACCAATTTCTTATATACTGCGCAAAATTGTCGCTGTCCATACTGCCAGCTATAGTATATCGATCCTCTCTACCCTGATTTTACCTCCGCGCTTCTAATTTCTAGAACGAAGTACTCCTTTCGTAAATTCTTTGTACGTTAAATTTTTTTAAACTGTGTTTGTCGGAAATTTATGTCACGTAATAAACAAGCCAAAATGTCACAACAAAACCGTGAATTCTTGTCGGTCTAAAAATCTTTTACATTTGTCACTTCTTGAATTGTCTACAACTATTCTAATTTCGTTTCATTTTATTTATATATGCTCGCTTATTGCATGTTAAATTCAATTATTCTTTAAGTGAGTGGTTTTGCACTTCTGCTGGCAAAATTCAGAATAACATGTATCGCGCGCGTTCTAATATTGTGGATCTTGATCTCACTGCGCCGTTATGATATCTATTAAATTCGAAACGTGCCGCTAGATAAATTTCTCTGATTGCTTGTTTCTGCGTCTTTTAATTTTCCATTAAAAAAAAAAACATCAATCGCGGGAACAAAACAAACAGCATTTTCTTTTCGTTTTCTCGCAAGAAGAAACAGAATGGAGTACTCGTTCTACGGTAATTCCAGTTAGCTCTCTTCTAACCGGCCGGCAGTTTATTTTTTGTAAAACCGAACGTCGAAAGGCAACGCTCAATAAACGGAACTATACTCCAAATCGTGTACTGGCGGAGTGTTGTACGGTGGTCCTGGATGTGGAGGCGGATGCTGCGGACTGTATTGTTGCGAGGCATCCGAGGCGCGACGATGCGCTCTGAGCGCGGCGATGCTGTGGGCGCTTCTCCAGTCCGTCGTTTCGTTCACGCTCACGTCGGCACCTACGCAAGAAACGCCGCCACCACCGGCACCGCCGCTACCACCGCTACCGGAAGTCGTGCCCGGCGAACCCTGGCCGCAGTTCAGGCCTGAACCCATCCCGGCCTGACCGCCACCCACCGAGGAAGCACCCGGTGGCGAACCTCGAGATGCCGACACGTGAACGCCACCTGCGAAACAGAAAGAAAATGGCGGATTAAGTGCTTCTCTATCTCAACGATATGTGCACTCGGTATTATTTCTCTATGTAAAATTTATACCAACAAACGTTTTCTCAAATAATCCCCCAAGTCCATGTGTACTAAACAAACTATGACCCTGTGACTTCACAACTATATGTTCCTTAAGAATTTGCGACTATCAGTGAGCAATAAATATTTTTTTTTATAAGTAGTAAGCAAAGAAAGGATAAATATTTATAGTCAACCGCAGCTCCGCTACATACTGCGGGTGAGGTTGCATCCCCAAAACGACCCAACACGACTCTCAGGTACAGAGAAGAGAGGCAATTTACAGGTGCGACATTGCAGGTGCGGAGGAACGAGCAAGTTTCTTTCTCTCGTTTCTCCGCAGAAGATATTAATACGGTAGACTCTGACGCAAAGCGCGTGGGGTGCGCTACCGGCTGTCGTAAAATCGTTTCCGTCTCTTTTGCCAGCGTGCTACGCTGGTGGGCTTGAAAGACAACGTGGGGAGAAAAAAGGAACCTTTTTATGACGGTGCTGCGTTCGAAACACAAGTTTGCGGAGACGGACTACGCGGCAGCGGCTGCTTTTGAAAAGCTGTATACGAAAGAACGAAACGTCTAATGGCGACGATGTAAGTGATTTTACGATCTTTGTTGTCGACCAATTCGATAAATTCGACGTGCCGCGCGTCGTCGAAAAGCGCAGCCACGCCATTTGTATATTGCGCTCAAACAAAAATTAATGACAAGCTCGAGGTAGTGACAATTTGACTTCAGATGACAAGCTGAACGTTATACAGACGTGTAAATAAGAAAAAAAAAGAATACATTATTGTCGTGAGTATTTTGCGCGATATATTAAAAACGTATGTGCGACTTTCGCATTGAGTGGTAGCCGAAATTCGGGTCTCTTTTAAGGCGTGTTAATTTACGCATTATCGTGCCTTATTTGCGCTAACCCGAGAGTCGTTGTGGGAGAGATACCAAATGAAACTTGTCCGATTGACTAGGACCTAACCGCGGCCATACCGTTGGCTTGCATTGCGGTGCTAATCATCATCGGTAACCAAAAAATAACGCTCTACTCTAAAAGCTATTTGCTTTAACCATTATCCGTGGATAAAGGCGTAATATAGCCGCGGTAGTAGAGGAGTAGAACTAGACGTGTTCACCTTAAAGCCGCATTTGCACATACACTGACGAGCTCATGAAACGCCAATTTTTTTTCCTACCGAGTCACGCTACCTGGTAATTGGCATCGTATAAGTGTTACGTGCGTATGCATATACACATACGTAATCCAATACACACACACACACACACACACACACATACAAATACGATCCAGATATACGCTGTCAGCTTGCGAAATGGCGTTACGTCGGATTTTTTTTTCATCACACGTAGCTTCACATCGAGAAAAGTCCGGCAAGTGTTGTATTAGATTTTTTTCATTGCATCTCCGTGGTCTTGCATCGGATACATTTAAGCAGTAATTAATATATCAGAAACACGATTTTCGCGCAAAAGAGAAGTTTTGCTTCGCGGTAACGCGATTATCGGTGGTAAACTTAAATATTTAATAATGTGTTACTCGCGACTTCCTTCACACACACACACACACACACATACATACAGCTCGCGTAGGCGAATTTGATAAATTCGTCCGTGAATAGAATCGAATCTGTATATCGCGTTGATATACAGATTCGTCTTCAGAGAGGGTTGATGACCCTCGTGTTAGCGTCACGGCAAAGATATATCAAAGCGAATGTTTAAATGTCACATTTTGCTGACACGTTTCTTTTTAAATTCTGCCGAGGAATATGTTTAAGTAGAAAACAAAAAATACTTCACGCAAAAAAGAAATAGCGAGACTCTTCTATTATCGGTTTTTTCATATTCGCCACATCATCTCTCGCACGTACCCGATATTTTTCACAGTTTATGAACACCGAGGAGACTAACTTATCGCAACAGAAAGAGAGATTATTCGTAGTCGCAATTTCGAGTTTTATTGTCACGTAAAAATTAAATATTCCGGATTCTGTATCGTATTAATATAGTTGCATTGTGCAACGCGCGAATGACACTTTTCAAACACTTCGTACATTAAAATTATGATTATCGGCTAGACACTTGTTTCTCGAGAGAGAAAGACTTTCTATTTCTGAACGAGATAAAACTCTTGTTTTTCGCGTTTAGATAAGAATTGCAACCGAGACACGCTTAGATAGATAACTTCGTGAAAGAAGGAATTTCACACGCGATTTATCCCCGAAGTATCTTCGTGGGTACAAGGTCCCCGGGTGAGGTGAAGCGTAACTCTCAACCAAGACAGGTTGCATCGAGATGTTATGGTAAACACACAGCGAAAGATCTCGCACCTAGGTGCGAGATCGGGCTCGGAGTTTGCCTGCGTAAACAGACGGGAGAACGGCGTTGATGTTTCTGTCTCAAATTCCTTGCGTGCAAGCGCATAACCCCTTCGGATCTTAATGCACCGTAACGTTTAACGACTTCGTCAAAGAGACTTCCATGGCGCTGTTTGCACGTTGTCTTTGAGAGGACCACGGGTCCTCAAAAGTTTGGCAAGACGATTATCGGTACAAGCGCGACCGGGCCGAGAGACGGTTAAGATTTTCTCTCTTTCTCTCTGTGGGTGTGTCTATTCGCCAACAATTCTTATTTGAGAATGAACGACGAGAGAAACGTTGCGCGGGGAAACGTTTTTAAGTCGGGGTCACACTTTGAAATAACGGACATTACTTTACATTGTTCGTTGTTGCGTAATGTTGAAACAGATACAACTGATTGCACATCTCACCATCGGTTGACAATACAATATCGTTCTTTATAAGATCCATGTTTTCTTTCACGCAAAATAATTGTAATCCCGGCTTTATTCAAAACGTTTGGCAGAATATAACCACTTCTTTTTCCTTTCTCTCCTTCAAAGATAGTACAACAATCAGTTATTTCTTGTTAGAGTCCGTAACTTACCGATGGAGTTGAGTCCGTAATTGGTATGGTAGACGGATTGCGACGGGCTGTTGATCGGGAGTCCGGAGTTGCCGAGACTCAAACTGGAACCCAGGCTTCCCGAACTCTGTTGACCGAGTTGTCCGAAACTACCCATTGTCATGCCGCCCTGTAATTGTCCGAGACCTGCAGAACATAGACGCGAGCGCTTAAATAGGCAGGGATCGATTACGGGCGTGAGAGCGAGATATTCTCGTTCGACAAGGAATTCGCGAAGAATTGAAAAAGATCGTTTTGGTTATCGGTGTCGTCGTCGCGTTCGCTGCCCGTGAACAACCGTCGAGCCGATAATACGTGTAAGTAATTTCAGCTGTCTCGACCGGCGTGGACGGGCAAAATTAAATTAGAAGCCGAGCATCGTCGCGACTTCGTCTACGAGAATTGGTGTTTTCTTCTCCGAGTCGCGTTCTCTTTCGCCGATAAGAGAGATGCTAATAAAGTCGCATATCGAATGACGTGGCAAAAACCGTGTGTACAATTTGCATATAAACGAGGATAATTACACGTTTTTGATTAAATTACGCAAAAGTGCCTATGTACGTTTCTTTTGCTGTTTTCGAGCGTCATTGTAATGACATTTCCTCATTGGAGTTGGTAAAAAAATGGATTCAATTTTACACAATATAAGTGTCGGATTCTTTAATTTTCCTCTCTCTAAGTTACCAAGTAAACTGTATAAATATTTCAAAAAACAGTCAAAGTGTCGAACCGGAAGGGAAAGATGAGAAAGTTTGGCGCACACTATGTGAGCGGACTAACACTCTTTTCTATCATATTAAGAAAACGAGAATATAATATTTAGATGTATTACTTAATTTTTAAGTGTGCAAAATGACACGGAATAAAAATCGATATATAGATTCACTAGCGAGTTGCATTATAAGCTTCGTTTTCAACATTGTTGCGCAACTATACTTATTACTTATTAGCGATGAATTTGCAATACGTATCGGATTTACGGTGGAAAAATCGTATCGTTAAGTATAAAACACACCGTGAAGTGCAATTAATATTTTATCAAATTTTTGACGTGCGAAATTGAAAACTGCTCCGAAAATAACAAGTTGAGGAGAAGACAGGTTTTGAGAGAATATCAGGAAACTCGTATAAATTTCAATTTTAAAGTTGCACAGTGACGAATATGGAATTCTTATGTGTAATAATGCAAGCGATCGAAAGACCCGTTTCCTGCCTTGGCCGGTGTAAACGGATGGATATTTTTTTCGTCTCGAGTTTCTTGTACGGTTAGTAATAAGCGTTATTAATATCTGACCTGTTCCCATTCCCCATCTGTCCGCGGGGGTATGGAACATTCCGCTGCACAAATCAGAGCTCATCGGTCCAAAGGGTGGCAGAGTGTGCGACGGTAGCAGCGCTCCCGAAGACCGGAACACGTTGGTCGTCTTCTTGCGCTTCTTCCACTTCGCCCGTCGATTTTGAAACCATACCTACGGCACGACGGTTAAGAGAAAGATATCGGTCTTGTCATCGTTCACAAAAAATTTCAAACAGTATAACTTTGCAAAATCTTTTACAACGTTTTTAAAATGATTAAAAACTTTGATTTATTTGATTTGAATTTGCATCACGAAGAATAACCAAGTTATTTGCTAAATCGACTACTTTTATTTCTTTTCAACTAAAGTATAGTTAATTTTAGTTCATATATACACACACACATATTCAGATAGCACCAATTTCTTCGCCCACCCCTCCTCCTCAATGATAATATTTTTTTCTCAATAGGGCGCAACCAAATCCAACCATTGCGACGGTAAGATGTCCCTCGGTGTTACGACAATATCTTCGACCCCACCGCGGGTAGCTATTAGCCGACGTTATGAGCTGTTGATTCTGGCCACGTAGTGGCCCCCTAAGCTGCCGGGGTCCCGGGGACTTGATTTATTGATATCGCATGCAAAGCCCGCCTCTGTGTTCTCCGATATACCTACCCTCGCCCTATCTCGCCACCACTACCAGCACCACCACTACCAATGCTGTCTCTCTCTATCTCTCTCACTTTCTCTCTCTCTCTTTCTCTCTCTTTCTCTCTCTCTCTCTCTCTCTCTCTCTCTCTCTCTCTCTCTCCC